GCATTACAAACTCTACTGAAAATATCATCAATAAATAACGAATCTCATCAATTGCATTTATTTGGATAAATAATTAGGTTGTCAATCAAAAATGTAATAATCTAAATAATTTTCGTCTGCCATGTATTTCAACAGGAAAAAGTATTCTGATTATTATATGTAAAGCACTGTTTTTCATCATGTGATGTTGTCGAATCACTCCATCGAATATCAAAAGAGACTATGGCTTTAAATTCTCAAATTCTTATTAAAAATAAACATAGTTTGGAGTTTTGAAATTATGCCTACATTGAATGGAAACCATGTGGCTTTTAGCATCGATGTGCGAATACGTAAAAGCCAACAAACCAGGTTAAGCTTTAAGCTATGTCGAAAAGCTGTAAAAGTCTAATATACCAAATTTCATTTTAGAATATCCGGTCATTGGGCATAATATGTGACAAGCAGAACTTCCAGAAAATCCACTGAATAAAACCGGACAATTAATGCATGAAAAAAGCAGAAATAACTTGATCATGTTTCTGCATTGTGTTGCCGCTGTTGCGATTTCCAACGAAACCAACATCTTCCAATTGAAAAAAAGTGGAAATTAATTTCGGAGTCAAGTGTTTAACGTGTATTAGCGTTGTTTGTGAATTAATCTACCAGTACTACTCTAACTACTGGTTTGCAGGAATGTGGTTGATTTCAAATTGACCACGAACTGATATTAGTTAAATAGCCGCTAAGAATCACAGAGTATCACACAGCTGTTTCGTCCTGGTTTGGGGCTCGTCATCGGTACATATGCGTAACTAGGTTTCATTATCTGAAGGTCCTAGATTCGAACTCTAGTGGCGTCATGGGTAAGCACTGCTGGTGAGCCTCAAACTAGGACTTAACAACTGTCCATTACGTCCTGGTTTCCCGTGTTTCTCTTTATCTAATTAGAGGTCAAAAGCATTTTACAGATCTAAATGCATGCCAGTAACTTAATAAGTTATGAAAGTAAATAAACACTTATTCTAACACTTAGAAGTGCACATTTTATCTCAAGCCTTAGAATTCATCAAAACTCTTAAGACCAAACTTTACAAGAATACCAGATCTCTTAATTCAAAGGCATCAATTTATTTTGAACAATTGAATAACCCCCCTCACAAAAACATACGACCATTGCTTCGATGACTGGAACCTTTTAAAATATGACTACCTAGTGTCTTAAATAAAAATTGTGCAATCATTTAAACACTTTAATCACTACATTGTATAATGTCAAAATTTCCCATAGAGAGAATAAAGTTAACGCCTAGTAAATTAATTTTCGTAACATCACTGATATAACCATGAAAAACTAAGTGAAAAAAAACCCACTTGAAAGTAATCTGGATGCTTTAAGATAAAAATTAAATCATACCAGAGCAAAAGTGTCTTTTCTAATTCTTGTCTAGGTATGCATCTCCTTTCGTATGCTTTGTCATAAATTCACAGCACCAACAATAATTAGTCAGTGTTAGTGAACTAAAATGTTTAAAATACTAATTGAACATAAAACGATGATATCAAATTGGATGGATATTTCTTGCCTCTTGATATATTTTCTATAGTTGGTTTACGAGTTGATCATGGATTGGTATCATTAAGAGAACCACTGATTATTAGAAAACATGTCATTTTGTAGGCGTTTATTTTATTTAGGTAGTCCGATTTACTCGGTGAGCTTGTTTTCGCAGGAGTGTGTGATTAACTTGTAACGCTTTCATTGATCATCAGGATATCTTCAGTGTGAAGTCCACAATAACTTTGTTCACGTCGTAATATACTTTTTTAATCAACAGCCGTGAAGGTACAAATAAAGAAAATACAATTCGACAAGACAGCAGTTTTCAGTCGGAAATGATTTATCTACGCGATTCAATTATGTAAAGAAATGTAGTCAAAGAAAATCAATTCCTCAACATCTATTTCATCCAGGTTATAGTCTCACCGAAGTAGTGAAACTGAAATTTGCATGGTTGAAACTTTCTGAGACAGTAAACTAAACGTTGCTTAAACGTTGTTAGACTACAGATTGATATCAATTAGAGAACCACTGAAAATCACAGAGTACTGGACAGTTGTTCTATCCTAGTTTGGAACTCATCGGCAGTATGCACTCAGTGGCTTTCAAAACCAGGGCCTTTCAGTTACAAGGCCGGCTCGTAGACCATTCACCCACTGGGACTCGACTCAATGGCCTATGAATTCCAACTTCTACCAGTTCGTGTTCTTGGCGCGATCACCAACCAGTGTCACTGGCGGTAACTCAAACCCTATTGCCTTGTAACCGGAAGTTCCTAGTTTCAAGAACCAGTGGGTGCATACTGTCAATGCGTCCCAAACTAGGATGAAACAGCTGTCCAGTTCTTCCTGATTTTTAATGGTTCTCTAATTTATATCAATCCGTGGTCTAACCTGAAAATTAATGTGTTTGTATTAAGATTAAATGTTCAGAAGGGATTAGCAACAAGGAACTCTGGCGTGCAATGAACTAACCAAGAACAATTTGCTCAACAAATTCGATAGGGGAATTGAAAATGGATAGCACACACGCTATGGAGGCTGTTGAGTGACTTGATGCGCCAAGCAGACCATTGAGTGGAACCCGAATGAGAAATGATGAATTTGGCATACGAGGGTGACATGGAGGAGATCATGTCAGAAGAATCTGAATGCCAGATACTCAGGACTGCAGGGAACAGGACAAAATTTAGATGCACTGTTGGGTCTGGATGTTCCACTTGGAACCCAAGAGAATAACAGTAATAATCAGTCCTTATGTTAGTCTCATTTTCGTAGGAAAAGTCCAAAAGATATGATATTCATTATAAAATCCCCAGAACAACTATTTCAAAAAAAAGAAATTACAAAAATCAATACGGATTGATGTAAAATAAAAGATATTTTGATTCAAAAAATTCCTTTTGTCTTGGCAAAATAACCACAATGCATTGCAGCATTAATGAAATTCACTGTGTTGTCATAATAATCAGAATAACAACAAATATTTCATGAATGAAATCCTACAACCATTCAATGAATGCTTTTTTACATAATATAAGTTGTTTGTTTACCTTAGATTAAAATTATAGCCGTATCCGACAACGGAAGTTAATGTCATAATGAAAGAATTTAAGAAATAAAATTTCATTCAGCAACTAAGCAGTTTGACCAGTGAGACATTATAAGCGATAAATAAATAAACTTCCGTATAAAGATTAGTGGTTTATAAGATAATAAGGAATTGAAAAGACGCTTTCAAACCAGCCGACTTTTCACATTATTTCTGGAATTTGCATGCTATTGTGGGTTGATGTGTAAAGAAATTCTTAAGACAAGAAATTTTTTGTTGGTGTTCTTTTTTCGGTTTGTTAACACTTCCTTAGTGTTATATGAGTATGACTATTTACTTTTTTTACCAGCTATAGCATTCGTAGGCTGATAAAAAATATTTTTCACTAGTAAATAAGTCTCAACACTTTACAATTCATTATTATCTCGGGAAACATGAAAACATATTGACTGTAACAAGTAAAAATGTGTGAGTATGAGATAAATCTACTCTATCAGATTATTATGGATTCAAGTGACATATATTTTTTATCCCTTTGCGTACACAGTGGAACACAGGGCTTTAAGCTTTAGCTTTGAAGTTGCAGTAGCAGTGTTGTTTTTTTTACGGGGTGGGGTCGCTAGTCTTACGCCCAACCTTCCCTCTTTGTTAGGATTGTAACCGGCTAAGGGAGGTAAAGGTGTGTGCCGACCGGGACTCGAACCCGGGACCAAACGACACATACTTTCTCTTAATACAGTTTTTGACCACTTGATTAAATTTGTGTAAAACTTTTCATTCTTAAGTGATCCACTTCACACACACACACGAGATATTCATAGTAAAGTACAGCGAGTTGTATAGCATTTAGAGGACATTTAAAAACCGCTCAGTATTTAACCTGCTTATGAAATTCAACTTATCTCTGGGCTGTCAGAGTTCAGAGAGTTATGAAGGTGAAATCGCAAGAAGTCTTTTGTGGATCCTGACTTGAATTAACCAACTTTCAAGTCGGAATCATTAAATACCAAACAGCATTGAGAAAAGAGTTGAACGACAAAGTGTTTTCAACTCTCTATATGTAAACAGTAGACTCTGGAAAACATCTTTAGGGTTTTACTGATATTTGCCCTAATTTTAATTGGGAGATTTCAAAAAAGTCTTACTAATATTCACTATTCACAGAAAAATTAATTATGAATTCCAAGCTTTCAATTAATAATTTAAATTGAACCAATGAAGAAGCAGGTTATCTGACAACTTTGGGGATTTTTATTGTCATCATAAAACAAAATTTGTGTGGATATACAGATAAAATTTGTTGGACAAAAAGTGAGTCAATGCTTTAAAAACCATGAAGTTTCTATTAACTAATCTGTTTGCCAACCGTCTAAGTGAAGCGTCTACAAGGTATCCCCTTGTAATAACTCTCTATAACGTTATACTTTGACTACAGGTGACAACTGATGCCAATTTATATGGGGGAACACCTTACCGGTATCCACATAATCAGTAAGTAAAAACAAAGGAAATACTTTCATCTACAGACCTATAAATGATTTCTTATCTTACATGTTCTTACTCCATTATTTTGGATTTTATTGGCATTTACCAAAGTTTCACTTGATACAAACAACAATAATAAACATACTGCGTAAGTTATTCGTCACAAAACTTTAATCATTTATGGTGAATTTTTTAAATAACACCGATATCAAAAGAACGCAGAGACTAAAAGTAACATTTCCAAATTGTTTAGTCTTGAATGAATAATTCATTTCTGTTAAAAGAAACTAAGTTGCTTATCGGTTTATGACATTTTACACCAAACTAAATATACACAGTCAAGTTGATCCGCCGCCTAGATCCATATTTATCTCCAAGATACTTCAAGTTTTAATCCATTTTATTTTATATTTTCATTCTATAGGTCATGTGACAGGAACACCAACATATCTGAATTTCAAGCTCGTGTGGATTGCAAACTACTTCGTTCTAAGTAATCATGATATTCTTGTTATCAGTTCACAGTCAAAAAGTAGTTATTTAGAATCTTCTAAAACTGAACAATTTCAGTTAACCTATCAAATAGATCTTAAAAGTATTAGAGGAATTCCATATGATAAATTATCATTTTTATTATCAACCCAATCAATTGTATTATTTGATTTAATTATTCAAGATTGTGATACAAATGTTACCGTAAGAGTACCTAACGCTTATATAAACCAACAAACAGTGGATAAAATGTTTCAGGAAAATACTTTTCAGTCTCCAGTAGTTGGTGTTCAGTTAAACAAGAGTGTAGATAAAGAATCAACACAGTGGATCATGTACAGTCCTTTATTATTTATCACAATTGGAATCGGGTTACTTTATTTTCTTGTATTAATTATATTTGTATGCATAAAGCACTTCATTATATCAAACAAAGGATATCCTATATCAGTTGGATATCAGAAGTTTGTTGATAACAGCAATAACGACCAAAGTAGTGATTTCCAATATCATCAATTACTTCTGCATCCATTTCCCGTGAAACTAAATAACCATACATTGTTTTATGCAACCTCAAGAAAAGGTGAAGATTACATTCAAACATTTCTTCCGGGGAGACAAACATTATATCACCCCACTATTGTACCAAGTCACCGTCATTGTTGTCAAGATGTTAATGGAACTGGAAAACGTCATTCAACTTGGTTGCATCAAAATACCTGGAATACTAAAAGTTCAAAATTAAAACGCATATTTTTATTCACTCACCTTGCATTCCGTGTATTTTATACCTTTTTATTTACATTCAGTGTTGCTGTATCGTTAATATTTAGTTTACAACCTTCCAGTAGGCCAACATTTGACAGTATGATACACTGGTCGAAAGTAAGTCAAGAGTCTTTAGATTATAATCATCGAATGCAAAGAAATATGCAAAGATCATCGTCTTCCTCAGTAACATCAATGCCAACAATACGTTTAGATCAAACTCATCTTATTGGTCCAATTATCAGGTTACAAACTGAAGCACGTTGGATAGAAGAATTCACAGAACAAGAATTAAAAAGGCAACTTGATTATGTTGAACGTATGAAGTTGGCTTGTCAACATGCTATGACAGTTGAACTAACAGATGCTCTAAGAGAAGGTAAACATTTAGTAAAAACAAGACTAGAAAAATGGCAGTTGAACAGTACCATAGCGCAGAATACTGATAATATAAACGGGAATACCTTGCTTTCTACCAATGAATTAGCAGGTCATCATTTTAATAAACAGCGTAGTTTATTTGACCGCATATACGAACAAGTCAGTCAGCAAATAGATTTTCGCAGAGTTAAATCTTTCAAAGTCTATTCAAATATGCTTAATTCTGTTTTTCATTCTGGATGGTTACAGTATGCTAAACGTATGCTAAATACTTCTGATAATCTTGACAGAACTCCTAAACACTTTTCAAATGCCAAGATTCACTCAGCAACTAAGCTCAATTTTCAGGATAGTATGCGAAGATTTTATGAGATTGCTCAACAAAGATCCGGTATTAAAGCATCTTATGTAACTTTAATGAATTATATGAATTTTTATCAAAGCGATTCAGTTCAACTGCTACCATTACAACTGCTTGAAAGGTATGTCATTCATTTTAACTTTGCATAGAATTACATTTTTAGTGACAAGTGGTGCTATTTAACTGTACTTCACTTCATATATTGTGTAAGAGTGTGTTTAAGTTCGCATTATCTTATACCAGTAATAGAACAATTGAAGATATTTGGTCGTAATGTGAAAGTTGTTTCTTCAACTTTTGATGAGGTCATGAGTGCACAGTGATTATATGCTCTGAACTATGATCAAATACCACGAATTCTTGACTTTAGATTCTTCTTTGAGCTTTGTCGGTGTTGTGAGAAAATTGAGTCTGTGTTTAGCAATCAATTATTGCAATAATCTGTAGCATAATTTTCACTTTAGTTTAAGGATTAGTGAAACATTTACAAATCATTTTTAAGTATTGGTTTTGTAGGGATTTAATTTTATTGGATGCCAGATTTCATCATGAGCTGACATCAGTTAGAGTACCGCTGGAAAACCTGGGAGTACTGGACAGCTGTTTCGTCCTAGTTTGGAACTCTTCATCAGTGCGCATCCACCACAAGGGTTCGAATCCAGGATTTTCTGGTTACAGGGCGAGCTCGTAGACCATTGAGCCACTGGGACCCTATCCGATGACCAGCCCATGAATTCTAACTTCTACCAATTCACAACATAGCGCGACCATTTCACAATGAGGCAGTAACTCATCGAAGAAGACTATCTATCTTGTGGACAACTGTGAAACAGCCATCCAGTACTCCTAGGTTTTCCAGTGGCTCTCTAACTGATGTCAGCTCATGATGCAATCCTGCATCCAATCAAATTAACTATCTTTTAACAACGCCTGAAATATACTGAATGAGACAGCTACATAAGTTTGTATCCATGAGAAACCAAACTAAATAGAAAATAATAAAAAGTACAAAAGGAATTTCATTTATGACTTGCTGATATCCCTGCAATCATGAAATTTTCAGACTACTGTGATTTATTGTAATGTCATGAGGATACTACTGAACATATTCAGCATAAGAAAAAGAAAAATACCTAACTTGAATAGAATCGTCAGTCATTCTGTAAAAGAAGGTCTGAACTTTGCATTGATTTTAACACTGAGGACGCATCAAGAAGAATTTTAAGTCATTCAAAGGGAATGAGATGTTGGCAGTTCAGGATATGTCAAGCATATCAATTATATCCTATCCAAATAAACGCAAATAGCATAGAAGTGTCGGTTATATGCCAGAATTTAGTTAGCAAAGAAACAGAAACATCACATTAGTTTAGAAATAATGAAAAGTGGAACTTAATTAATGGTCATATATTTATAAGCAAAACAGTGAGTAGGCAAGGTTCTAAATCTAAGATATTAGGTAACAACGCATGACAGAAGTATGTAACAAACTTATATACACACAAATGGCAATGAAATGAAAGCAAAAATTGACAAGGCTTTTATGTAAACTGATTATGGGTATAAAAAGTAATGATGACCAACCAACCACGAGGAAGCTCATTCGCCTTACCAGTAAACGATACACTGTTTAATTGATTGAAATGTCTAAATTAACTGAGACTTGTAACTTTTTATCCATGTATTGACTAAAACTGACAGGCGAAGGGATTCAGAATAGAAAACTTTAAGAAGTTACTGTTCTTTTTAGCAAAAACACATTGGAACATTTCAGAAAAGTCATGTACCGAGAATGAATGCCGATTTATTTAACCAGTAATCAATGCCAACGAATGGCGAGAATTATCTTAACTGTTCAAGAGTCCTACTGTAATGAAACCACAGGACAACAAGTAGGAATCAAAACGTCTTACATACTGTGAAATTACAATATTCATGGGAAGAACCTCGCTCAAATTTCTTATGTAGTGACGATTTAATCTATGTTCAGACTGTTCGGACCACCGTATCTTACATAGATAAACTGTCAAAAATCGCGTAGTTTATCTTTTAAACACATCATGGATTTCGATATGGAGCTTACCCTTGGCTGGTCACTATTAATAGTTTCATTACACCATTTAATCACTACATTCTATCATTTGCAAGTAAACCTATCAGGCAGTTGTTTTCAGAATACAGTCGAATATTATCGCTCAGAGTATAAAGCTACCATAACTGGTATCTAGTAACTGAAGAGATAAAAACACAGGCATAGAAAAAGTCAGATCAGGTTTGTTACTACGATTAAGAACAGCTATATATTGTGGTCCCAAACAAGATTTCTGTGGCTGTGTGAATACTGAATCTCTCAATTAATCTGCCAATGATTCTGATGCATTGAATCGATATCTTAGAGTAATCATCCTTCACCTTCATCAAATCATATTTAATTAAAATTACCACATGACTCTTGGACAGATAAAAAGTAAACACTCATGATTTGTTTCTTAACCATCATAATGACTAGCTGATCTGTCATAACTCAGACCCTGAATATGATCTCTGCATTGCATGTGCACCGATTAGACCAAATTGAGGTAAAACTAAAGAGTCAAGTATCTGGATTCCATATAAGTCACGCAGTAGTATTACCAATTTTCAACTATTTCTACTAAAAACAGAACAAAATGTATTCTTCAAATGTCAGTAGGGTTAAAGTTATGATCCTTATGAAGTAATAAATCAGTAATGGAAACAGGATATGCGTTTCTCTTAAGGCTGTAAAGAAACCTTTATGATCCTTGCTAATAAATCTAAACTCTGGGCTTCTCAATTTCTAAATCTTTCCATCTGACATAAAGTGATCTGTCGACTGAGTGAAATCTGATATGAGCACTGCTTCTACCCCACAATGACGAGGAATAACATTTTTTTTTGTTTCTAAAATGCTCACTTCTTCCTTGATTTTTTCTCCCCAGTGTTGCAGCTGCCCTTGTCACAGTTGTATGCTATGTGCTAACACCATCTGCTCATTTTTCTATTACCTAAAAAAAGTAAAAATATCTGCATATATCCCAAGTAGCACAGCTCAGCATAACTTATTTTTCTTCAGTAGAATTATCAAAAAAATGTCTAATATCAATGTAATATGTATCTGTGAGAGGAAAGCCTAATCATATTCATATTTTAATTAAGAAAAATATAACTGTAGGCTACATATATGAAGTAATCATATTTCATCTCCATATGATATAAATTTCCCCTTAGGGTATGAAACTAACGAATTATTATTGAGTATTCTTATATTATGTAATTTAAACAAGAATTTTATATGATTCTGTCATCTGAAGACGTAAGTGAGTAGTAATTCATGAGTTTATCTGAAAATAGTTTTGTTCATTTTATCAGTGAAATAGTGTGATATAGTTACTTATATATTTCAGTGTATAAGACACCACTGATTATTTACTTAAACATGCTGAAATCATTTATTTTCTCTCTTAACCTAATCACAAATATTTCATATTGGAAAAACAAACTAATCGACTCTACCTTCAGGTGGTGTAGGAATTTGTTTGGTTTTAAGTTTGATCACGGATTGGTATTATTTAGGGAACTGTTGAAAACCAGGTGGTTTGGACAGCAGTTTAATCCTCGTTTGAAACCCTCCAGCAATACGCCACCATGACCTTACCGGAAGTCGAACCCAAGACCTTTAGGTTGCTCGGTGAGCTCGCTAACCATCCAGCCACTGAGATAAGATCCAGTGACCTATAAACTTTAACTTTCATCACTTCGCGATTTCAGTGGCTGAATGGTCAATCAGCTCGTCTAGTAGCCTGAAGGTCCTGTATTTGACCTTCGGTGAGGCCATGGTTGCGTAGAGGGAAAAAAACAGCTGCCTAGTACTATTTGTTTCTCAGTGGTCCTCTAAATGATACCATTCTGTCAACAAACTTGAAAGTAATCAACTACGGATAGTGCATTTTGCAGCAGATAGTTTTAGGACGAAAGGAAATGATGAATAGTTTTGTAGCTAAAGGAAATATTCACTACCCTTAGTCTTTTAATGTCACGGTTTATAACAATACAATTTGAATCGTGATACCACCATGCTTTCGTCACTTAAAATAATGTATAGTATAACAACAGAAGACAAGGGCCAGGCAACAGATCGTTTATTTAGGAAATCAACAGATATTTATAGATTTTCATGCACATTATTATAGATTATTTTGAGCAAACAAACACAGTCTTCTGATTGGTGGTTTCTCGCTGAACGTTAATCTTTCATCTCTTTGTGGCTGTTTCTTGAAGTTGAGATTGTATCCGCCTACGCAAATTCTGCTGTGATTGGTTGTTGAGTCAGTCTTTGTTCTTATTTTTCTCATGACCAATTTTGGGGACGTAAAAATTGACGTAAATTACTCTTTACCAATTTGGCTAGCAGCCAGCTCTCACCACAATAGCACTTATATGGTACATAGTGTCTGAATCATAAAGTCCTAAATTACAAGTTAATTTTATTCTTCATGACATTATAGTCAATCTAAAGATATTAATCTTGTTTTTGAATACTTCATTATTCAGAAATGGAGATGGATTGGCCATACTCTGATGAAACCATCAAGTGACATCACTATACAAGCCATTGCTCGAGTGGAACCCGAAAGGGAAGCGGCGAGTTGGTCATCAGTGCGAGGGTGACTTGGAGGAGGTCATGTGAAGAGGAGATGAAAACGTGTGGGCAGACTTGGAGCCAGGTGAAGACTCTAGCAGAGAACCGAACGCAATGGAGACGCACGGCTGAAGCCCTATGTTCCTCTAGGAATTAAAGGAAACAATAATAATTATTATTATTCAGAAGTTAATTCGTCATCGTGTTATCATCTAGGCACCTTCCACTTGAAAAATTGTATGGTTACTAGTAGAAAATCACCAGTAAGCACAAAGCATGCAAGTGTATCTGTACCAAAAGTGAATCATTCAATCTTCTACCTTAAAACTGAAAATATGTAGTGCCCAAATAGTATATAAATTGTCCTTGGTTTAGCTCACAAATATGTCAGTTTCTCAGTGGACAATGATCCTGATAACCCTCTGGAAATTTCTAAACTTAACCACAAAGTGACTCTGACCCAAATATTTCACTTACAATATTGTAGGAAAACGCCTTTGACAGCTTCACGAAATTATGCCAAAGCTACAACCTGAAACAAAAGTGTATATATATGATTTCAGGTTCAGCCCACATGAAAGGAAATGTATCCACTTTAAAAAAATCTTTAAATTAAAATAAAACTACCGAGAATCTCTTGTTAACTTTCATTAGTTCGCTAAGCGACTTTTATGAGTAGAATTTCTAAATTTATTGAAATTTTAGACAATGAATAGTAGTAAATTTATGTGAGGTATACATCTCTCAGTCCTTTCTGCTTTCGATTTCAGCCTCAAGAAAATATTCGCTCCTGCAAATCACTATATTTCAATGTTCTATTTATCTTCAGAAGTACACGATCAACTCAGACAATCTCAGATTAAACATCAACCGAATCATCAAACAATTAATTTAAAAAATCCTTTTCTACAAAAAACACGACAAGAACGTGTATTTGTGACGACGAATGATTTAGAGGAATACATAGATGGAACATTAAATCCTATAGAAGATGCAATTACACAGCATTCTTCTAATCAAGCATATAAACTTATTTCTGAAAACTTTATTGAGTACATTAAACGGAATGCTAATAGAAATTCAGAAGATTATATAAAGTATTCTGATAAACATTCAGCGATCCCAGTAATGACATTAACACACATTCGTTTAAGTCTGCTAATTTTAGACTGTTTAATTATTGTGTACAGATTTTTTCACACATATGAAATTCTAAAAGCTATTTGGACAGGTCAAAAGTTATTTGTGGATGCATCAAGTTGGTTAGAACGACAAGTGAATGTTATGTCTAGTGAAAATAAAGACATTGGGTATTTTCACGAAGAAAGTGAACAAATAACTGGAAGGGGAAGAAACTCTTCACATTCTGATCATACTGCTTACAATGAAACTGACAGTAAATTATTTTCAAGAACAACAATTTTTCAATGTCTTCCACAATACCAAAACCGTTATGAGTGTAGACATGATAGGCAGGTAGGTAAATTTTTGTTCTCTAATTCTATTTCTTGAATTTGTGTTCATAAATTCGGAAATTGTGACTTGATATATTATTTATGTTCAATTCAAAATTATAAAACTCACCATTTTCGCTTTGCTGCCTTCATCACTTTAATGTTTATATCAAAACCTGTTGTGGCAATGGTTTTTTCATGGTTACAAAGTTGTAAAGTTATGAGCATAGAAATCTATTATGCATACATTTAGAGGAAAAATAGAAATGAAACAGTTTGATTGCCTCAAGCAATAAGTCGAATTATGCCATACAATATTCTGAAATAACGGAGATTAGTAGTTAAGGTGGATGTTTTGTAGGCTTATTCTCCTAGCTAGGCATCTTCAGTGAAATATATGCAGTGTAACTTAAAAGCACTTGTATCAGTGTGTCTGTCATTTTAACTGATTGCACTATATTATTGTAATAATCAGTAGACAATATGAAATAAACAGCTAATATCAACGAACTATCAAGTAACGTTTGATTCATGCAAAATCCCGATACAGCCATTGTTGAAAATTAAAACAGCGGTTCCGTAAGTAGTCCAATAATTGATAACCTTGTTTACACTGACCACACAATCTCAAATTGATTTCAAAGTGATCTACAGAGTACAGGGCAACTTACCAAAGAAAATACGTTTTCGCCATTTTGGCACTGTCATAAATTTGTCCATCCAAATAAAGAAACCTTAGTGCTGTATACAAAAAGGAATTCTACAAACACTTCCACTACTCTGGTAAATACCCTTCTGTTTTCAAGCAATTTAGTATTCGTTGACTTCATTAATTCTTTCAAAATTCTACGCGTTATCACATTTTCGTGGTCTCTGTGTGCGTACTGACTATAACACAATAAATCATTTGCCTAATTATGCAAACTGATCACCCTTATTCAACATCCGTTACGTATTGATTAAAACTATAAATTACGCTAATGAATTCTTAATACCAATGTTGAGTCATTTCTTCTATATGATTCAGAAACTTGGCCAACGTGTCAACAAAAGTACTTCCAACAGCCTGCTGCAGACCTCTGTCAAAAACTGCCTTCGCTAGGTTCATATTGAAGATCAGATAGTCAGAGATAATTAGCAACAGGAAACTCTAGCAATGAACCAACCAATAATCTATTGCTCAGTAAATCTGCCAACGAAAATGGAAATGGATCGGACACACACCATGGAGATCATAGAACGACACCATGTGCCAGGACGTCAAGTGGGACCTGTATGGGAAACTACTAGTTGGCCTTTGGTTCAACGGTAACATGGAGGCGACCATATGAGGATGAGATGAGAAACTATTGTCAATAATAGAACAAGCTAGAAAGTACTGCAGAGAGTAGGATGGAGCGGGGGTGTTTCCTGTTGCTAATTCTCTCTGACTATCTGATCTTCCGTATGAACCTAGCGAAGACAGTTGTTGACAAAGGTCTGCAGCAGGCTGTTGGAAGTACTTTTGTTGACGCGTTGGCCAAGTTTCTGAACCATAAAGAAGATGCTGCCTAAATAATTGAAGGAAGTAAATTCCTTGAAATGTATTCTGTTGATAGTGATTGGTGCCTGTTGTTGGTTAGCTTGTTATTTTCATCTCCTCCGTCTTCTTTATATTCACTTGAAGTCTTGTCTCTTCTACCTGCCTCTTCGGCCAGTTTGCTGGCCCGTCAGCTTCATACAACAGTAAATTATGATTCATATATTTATATGGAATTTAGTGTTGCTTTTTTGGTGAACATTAACGGATTCGGGCAAATAGTTTTGGAAAGACCAAAGGGAATGACATGACATAACGAAGCCTACTAGTGGATTTATAATAATTAAGAAACATTAGATACTTCTCATGTCTCTTCAAAAGACATCTTATAATATTCCACCTACACACTCAGAAATCTCAGTCAGACGTGTTGTGGTCTGAACTCAGGAAAACAAACTATTTATTCTGCTGCATTACTGAGAAATACTTCCTTAAGTTACGCACAGTCCCCAAGTGCCATGGACACAGCAGAAAAGCAGTTGTTTGCAATAAAATCTGCGATAACATTTAGAAAAAGTAACATAGAAAAACCCGAATTGAACTCAACAATACCACTGGACAGCTCTCTCTCGCGTACAAAATAAGTACTGTGGAACAAAGTTAATTAACTAGAATCTAGCATAAAAAGTGAGTGCCTAAGAATCAAATAGAATATGCCCACCAAGTTGGGTTCGAATCTCTGTTGGTAAGAATCAAATGCACCAAACACTTCCAGCAGACAGTCCAAAATTGAAATCCCCAAGAACAACGTTGATATCATTCAAAAAACTCACAACCGTAAAACAACACATTGCCAACACCACTACACAAGCCCAACGAGAAGCATTTAAATCAAGGATTAAGCAAAACAAAAGACAAAGGAACAAAACTGTGTCATCAGGTGATATTCAAACGTTAGAATAGTTATATACAGCTTAATAGAAAAGAGGATAACAATTACAAATTTAGTTGAAATATTCAAATATGCATCAATATTGTAAATAGATTGTTCAGAAGGGATTTTCCAAGCAATTATTCCGTTACAAAGACCTTTCTCTGGAAGGCAACCAACCTCGATATTGTGTACTTGGCTGCTATTATCTAATATCATTATATGTAGTTTGTCTTTACTTGTAACTTGGATCCTTTGTTTCTGTAGACACCAAATCAATCTTTAAGAAATACTTATGAATTTTGGAAGCTGGGTTGTTTCTTGACCATGATTTTGCTTTAGTCAAAATTATAGAATACTCCGAATAAATGTGGAATTACGACTTTCCCCAAGAAAACGCTTTCTATTTTATAAATTGTTATATACTGTATTATTAGAAGAAGAGACTGGACCACAATATTCAAGGCATCAAACAAAAATAAACGAATGTAATAATAAAACTAGTTCTATTTCCGTTTTCATTACAGTCTGTCATTATGATAGTCTGTTTTTCTCACACATTATTATGTATATTTAAAGTAATGAAAACTGGCATAATTTCAGCTTCCTTTTAAATAACTGTCACTGGTTTTGTACAGCTTCAATGTTGAATTTATTATTGCTATACTAATTAAGTTATTATGAATGTTATACAAAACGTAATGGAGTATTTTCTATTTCACTTGTAAAACTAAAACCCAAAAGTCAAGTTTTACCGAGATACCTGTCAAATTATTGTGACATATAATGCTAGATGCTTACAAAACTGCGTATATTCAACAACAAAAACGCTGACATGCTGGCTAACCCGATTTCGTAATTACATCACACTGAACAGTACAAAATATCTTCTACTTGCTGGTGTGCATACTGAAAACATCAACGTCAGATTTAATTTTCGACAATTAGCGTAATAATTTCGAATAAAATATGAACAACTGACATTTTGCTTTGACGATGATTTCAAACAATGACTGAAATAATCACCGAATACAAATTTTTTTTTACTTTTTCAGTCACCAGAAAAAGAATGAATAAAGTCTAATAATTCTATTATCATAACTGCGCTGGTATGTAGTTCATTTTAAACACATTTTTCAGTGAAAATTACTCGTGTAAAATGAGAAAAAAATGGAATCACGACGTCGTCTTGCAGTTGAACTGAAATAGATATATTAACTTTTAATTTTGAAAAGGTACAAATGAAGTAATTTTGATGAATAGTTGATTTAAACTTCATAATGCATTATGACAAGAACACCAACGGTGGTAAAACATTAATAAAGGAATAATAAGAATGAAATTATCCAGAAGAGAATAATTCACTTGACAACTAAGTAGTTGTACAGAAAATATACTATTTTGCTAGAAATGTAATTGAATAAATCAAAATTATTATTTCAGGCGTTTTGACTCTTACAAATACATTCTGTAACGTCCCGGAACTGAAAACTGGAACAGTTGACTTTTTCTAGGCATTATTTGTCATTATTCCCATGGGTTCCAAAGGAAATATAGAGCTTCAGCAGCACATCTTCTTTTTCATCCTGGTGTCTGCAGTCCTTTTTAGCTGGTTCTGCGATTGACAATGAGCTCTGATCTACTCTATACATGATCTCCTTCATTTCATCCTCAGACCCATGCTCAACTCATCGTTTTCCATTTGAGTTCCCCTCAACGGTCTGTCTGGTGCGTGACGCAACTTGGGGGTCTCTTCAGAGTGTGCCCAGTCCATCCTCATTTTTGTCAGCACTATTGAGAAACGGGTTGTTAATAATAATAATATCTTTATTCTGAACAGTATTTATGAAATGTACATAATTTTCACAGGAGTTTATAGCATGACATTTTTCCTTAGTACAATATCTTCAAGTAAATTATTGATCGACAGTATATCCTGTGACACAATGGTCTTTGAGCTGAAACACAAACCATTCTATTATGATATATCTGCTCTGTCTCCCTCAACAAATCCACGATATCCGGTTGGAAGCCAATTGTTAGATGTTCAGACGTACATTTCGAGACCCAGTGACATAACCGAAGAACAGTTTCTATGTCTGGAACACGTAGCCATCCAGAATCAGGCCATTCCTCAAGTTCAGGAGGAATTTGCAGATCAGGAACTTGTAAGCATTTTAAATACACACAAGAGTGAGCAGTACCATTAGAGACCATATCTTAACCGATTAAAACAAACCAAACGTATAAAACTATATGCAACAGATGGAATTTTCAGTAGCCTAGATTTTAAGCAGGCAGCTTTGTTTCCTGCGTTCCTTGTTGTTAATTCTTTCTGACTATCTGATTTTCAGTAACAACCCTAAGGAGGTAGCTGTTGATAAAAGTCTGCGGCAGCCTGTTGGAAATGTTTTCCGCGATGCGTTTGCCAAGTTTGTGAACCGTATAGAAGAAATGACCCAAAAGTAGTGTTGAAAATCTGTATTTCATTCTTCACACTGAATGAAGCAGATTTCCAAACTGATTTCATAATGATGAAGGTCTATCTTGCCTTTCCGATTCTGGCTTTGACATCTTCATCCATGCTATCCACCTGTATTTGAAACGATGCTGCCAAATTTAGTGGAGGAAGTAACTTCCTTGAAACTTATTCCGTTGATAGTGGATGTTGCTTGTTGTTGTTGGTTGACTGGTTATTTTTATCACCCTCGTCTTCTCTACGTTCACTTGAAGTCTTGTCTCTGCTCCTTCCTCCATTAAACGGTTAATCTTCGCCTTTAGACATTAGAGTTAATGTGACATTAGACATGAATCGTCTGCGACGTCCAGATCTTCTAGGCATGTCAAAAAGACTAACGCGAATGTATGTGCATGTATCAGTAAGACTTATGAAGGACTAATTAGTACACTAGATTTGGAAACATACTCTTCCACATACAGCTATATCGAACAAAATACTGTTAAAATAAAGAATTTGTGTTTATAAACATGCAAAACAGGCTGGTCCACTAAGTCACCATTTACCTGACAGTGTGAACACTCTTCAAGTTATGAAAAATTTCCATGTAATGTAATGAAGATCACATAAATCAGCAAATGGATATCTTTCCGTAACTTCACTTCAAAGCTGTATAGTTATTTAAGTGGTTTAATACACAGTCTTAATTAACAATAGAGGTCATGGATTATTGTTAGTTAGGAAAAAATAAACTGAAGTGTATGAGACTATTTGAGAAATTATGGGCAATCTTACGTATTCAAAAGGGTTGACAATGAATCAGTTAAGTGAAGAATAATCAATTGGAAATAAATAACAAGGAACAAGAGAACAAACGATTGAAAATGGGCTACAAAAATAAAATTTTAAAAATGATGACTAAAACTTAAAACGATTACATGGATTCCCTTATACATCTATTTAGGGAAAGAGAATTCACAGTAAGGCCACACTGGTTAATTAGGCCAGATAATAGGTTTCTGAAGATAAAGCTCAAGATTTTTCCTATGGATTGCTAAACTCCGGATACATGAAGAGAAATAACATGGTCATACTTTATATATGACTCTGAATGAGGTATCTGTTGATGCTTAACTAGTAGCAATGAAATGTGCTCCAGACATGAACTGTTGACTGTTCTGCTTTCTCTTTTTGAAAACCATGCCAGTCAGTATTTTTTGGACAATGTCCTGACGATACTCTTCATTGATAATTTTGAACCTTTTAGAATTGAGTAAAATAAGTATTGTTGTAATAGGGATTTTAGTTGTTCCAAATAACACTATTTTTCCATATTATAAGATTCCACTCTCATTTTTTATAATTGCGCACTTATAACTAAACGAAAATAAACTATCAAAATGTAACTGTCACTGTTAACTTCAAATTTTTTTCATCCAGGCTTTGTTGTCATCGTATGTTCCCTTTTTCACTAATCCACTGTCAAATGATAAATAAAACATTTGTCTAAAATATTTGTTATTCCCACAGTATTAATAATAATAATAATAATAACAGTAACAAAAATTAAAATAAAACAAAACATGGCTTACTGCAATTTTGTTCTTGTAATCAGTTCAGGGCGCTGATTCAATGAAAAACAACAGCAAAGAAGTGCAGTAGAACCAATAGACGATAGACATAAATTGAATTTGTGTACTGTGAAGAAAAAAACTGTTTATTTTATGACTGTTATTCTGATTGTGTTGATAAAATTATTTGTTTTGACAGTTACTTTTTGCCTACAAATCTCTAAAATTATCAATTTATGATAGGATATGGAATTAGGATTAGCCTAGTAGATGACTGTCTCTGTTGTGACAGTAAAGATGCAAAGATGGGGAAATCAAAAAATGTCAAAGTCTAACAGTCACTGACACTGACGTATTAGCACACGACGAAAATAACACATTGGTTTCCTCTTCACAACTTATGGATAACTTATCGTCGTCTCCGTCATTAATTTAGGTTAATGCATTGTGTATACATATGTTATTTAACTTAGACATTTCGTAAACTAAAAATAAAAGAAACTCCAAAGTTTAATAAACAATAGAAACACATTGGTAAGTGTACGATTATTGACCAGTAGTGTAATTTTGTAAATATACAGCAATTTCGCCTTGGTGGTGGGTGATTCATTACTGAAGAGATTTGTGAAGTCGGATAATGTATTAAACTGAATGCTTAGAAAGTAAAAGATGTTAGCAGAAGGATATTTCCTCACTCGTATCCTTTCACTTAGCATGTGTATAGTTTTCATTGAACAAACCATATTATTTCGATCTGCTATGTTTTTTGATGCCAATGAAATCACTGAAGCATTTGTTTAATTTGTAAAAAATTATATTTGTAAAATCTCAGCGATATTGAAATGAGTAATTCCAACGTTTCGTTCGGAAATCTGTCAAATCTTGACGACAGTTCATTTGAATGCATTTGTTTAATTACTTAACCTAATAAAAGATGCATCTCTACAACAGTTAACGACTACTTTGCTAAAAAGGGTTATCAGTAATTATTGACATAGGAGTCTAAGATAATGTCTATAGATGGTTGTGAAATTGCATATTATTATAATTAGCACATCCTCAATTGAATTAGGGAACACTGGGATGCCATCAGCAATCACGCAACAATTAGGTATTAGTTGGAGGATTTCATCATGAGCTAACATCAGTTTAAGAACCATTGGAAAACCTGGGAGTAGTGAACAACTGTTTCATTCTAGTTTATGACTCTTGACAGTACGCACCTACCGGTATTCCAACTCTGGACATTCTGGTTACAAGGCGATCTCGTGGACTATTAAACCACTGAGACCCGATCCAATGGCCATCAATTCTAACTTCTGCCAATTTATGACGTAAGGCGACCACCTCCAACCAATCAAACAAAAATCCCTACAAAAAATAATACTTGAAAGTTAGGTATTAGCAAGAATTCGTAAATCTTCTCACTTCACCACTCTAGCAGTCTTCCCACCTTAGATAAATGGTTTTTTCTATTCACGTAAGACCATAGGGTAATGATTTTAATAAGAAATGTAAAATAGAACATTGAAGGGACTATACAGTTGGGCTAAGTGATATATATATATTGGGTGCTAGAATTTGGTATTTACTCATTTGCATAACTTGTCAGAGTAATTTAAATGAATATTCCACCTTCTTTTTCCAGGCGTTATTTCAATCATCATCATGTTCACCTGCAGTTCCAAGAAATTCTCAGTCCTCAGAAACAGTATCACCGATTATGTCTAATAACATTATGCAATCCCAGTGTACAAATAAATCAAAAGAAAATTTCCAATCATGTCCTACATATTCACAATTATCTAATATGCCATGTAAATCTCTTCCATACAATTCATTAATTTCAATTGGGCCACCATTGAGTCTACCACCGTCTTCATCTTTTGGTATTGAACAAAATACAGGATGTATGCTAGGCGTACGAACTGCATGCTGTCGTAAATCACACTATATTAGCTCTATTGTTGGTTTAACTGTACTTATTTTATTATTTGGTTTAGTATTAATTCAAATGTATAAACCTACAGGAGTTATATCAAAAAAATCATCAACATCTACTAATTACGCAAAACAAAATTTTATACAGTATCGAGGGAATAGAATACCATATCTATCAACTCAGATAAATTTTTTTCGTCCCTATCATGAATTATTAATTCGTGAACATAGTAAAAGATTAAATCAAGATTGGCTTGGTTGGACAAGACGTAATGAACTTGCAATGCGTGGACGTGTGCTCAACTACCTGTCACGATTTAAACATGAACTTGTAAGTTGAAGTGCAATAATTATTAAAATGTATATTCAACTGATTTTATTTTAATGTTTATGGTTTTTGATAGCTTTAAATTTGTTAATCAGAGTGAATGAGCTATCAATATAAGGTTTTTGAGCAAAATAACTTTCTGCTTTGTCAGTGTGAGTTATATAACCACGTCTCTTTTTGAGCAACATAGTCCTGTTTTAATTACAATGAAGCATCTGTCAACATTGGAAATGATTACAATATTTTTGATGAAATTATAAGCTTTATGATAAGTCTATTATTTTAAACACTTCAGTTTAAACATTCATGAACAATGAACCTAATCAAGCATGAAATAACACGTGGAATATGTTTCAGTCAAATAAAAGTTGATAATACTTAAACGAATAAAATGTGCTAGTTAATGTATTTTAGCCAGATTTAAATAAGGAAGTATGTTTACATTACCTACTTCGATGAAATGAAATGGATTAAATGCATGCTTCGATTAACGTTTCCGTTTCACCCTCTTCGACTGTCCTATCACATTCCCATAATATCGTTTTAACTTAGATAAAAATTCACCAGCAGAGAATGTAACCTATCAAGAGAGACTGTTCCTACTACTTAGAAATAAGGGCCTTTTCCGGTCCACTTGATCAAATTTAGTGATTTTATTAGTAATGCAATAACTTGATAAAGTTCTATGAGCTAATAAACTGACTATTTACAAGATAGAGGGTATCATAAGCTGATACTAACGTGGCTATTATTGGATAGAAAAGTGTTAAAAGATCTTTTCGTAGTGCTGTAAAGCCTTGCGATGAGTAAAATACAGTTTTTGATGAATTTAGATTTTTAAATTCTGCCCTATATGAATAACTATTCACTTCTCACTGGTGACTTCATGGATGGTGATTATTTTCAGACGGTTATGAAGAAGTGTAATTAATGAAGTTAACTATGAAAAGAGCCATCGACCCTTGAAAGTGAATAGCATAGGTTTTATATTGTGAATCACCACTAGTATAAATCATTCCATTATTGCATTTCGACATGATGTGATTACTCATCCGTTAACTGTCAAATGTGACGATGCTTAGTTGGATCCTAAGGAGAATTTTGAGCGTGGTCTACCAGAGCTTACATGAAAGAATGAAAACCGTGTTCCCAATACATGTTTGTTTCAACCGATGCCATAATAACTTAATTCGAATTCAGTTATACTGATATTTGTCTGTTAACAGCCACTGGATCCTGTATAATGAAAGATATTAAAATTACGAGCAAAACACAACCAAAGTAATCGAAGTTTAACTGACGAGTTGTTCACGTACTTAGGATAATCAAGAACACAAGACATTGACCAGGTGTTTCTTCCAGTAATTCAATTGACCATGTGGGTAATAGTTAAAGGTTACTTAACAGTAATATAATAATTCTATTCCAAACTGTGTTTCTGTAACATACAGAATTCTCAGTAGAGTTTATTCTATGATATTTTCTCTTCGTCCAGTTTATTCAAATAAATAAAAATTTGACCTGAAGTGCAAACCAATCTATTATGATATCTCTTCTTTGTCTCCGAGATATGCTCCACAGTTGGTTGGATGCCAATTATAAAAGGCTCGGAAGTACTTTTAGAAAGCCATAAATTAATATATTGACGTTGCCACCAGGATAATGTTTTCCTCATGTTTAGTAGAAACTTACAAATCAGCAGATCACATTCATTTTAATTACTCTCCAGAGTAAATAATACTATCAGAGGTCATATTTTATTAGATTTAACAAACTGATCGTGAGAAATTACAGCGAATATATCAGTGGAGGTTTCAAGTAGCTAAAGATTTAAGCAGGCCGCTTCCTTCATATCCGATTCAAAATTAAAGGTAGATATCGCCGATGAGATCGAATTCAGAATGAAATAGATTATTAAATGTAGTGGGTGGTTTCATTACCTCTCTAGTGACCAACGTTTTTACTGCATATAAGATAAGAAAGAACTTCATTCAGACGAACACAAATTAAAATCATATATGTCCAAACCAAGTTCACATTAACAGTTTGAAAAAATTCAGGCATTGGGCATATGATATTCATTATAATAAAGGTTTTTGTATTTCCCAATGAATGAAAAACAAAACGATATTGTTTTTTTACTGACGTTTCGCTATTTAATGCTGCTAATAGCTTTATCAAAGTATTATTAAACCGGAATTTACAAAATCTCAGCATATATATAACAAAGAGTTAAGGGGTGAGAAAATAGACTTAGGTCAAGTTAAAAGGACATATTGAAAGTTAAAATAACAATGAAGATCACTAAACCAAATAACAAAGGTAATAGTACATCTGTTATGGTATCAAAACAAAGTTTACTAACTTGATCATCGTTCGTTAGTCTGGGGGCATTTTTCGTTGTCAAGTTGGTCAATTGGTAAAGATAACAAAATCAAAATCAAGTGTAGATTGTTGGATTTGATCAGTGTTTAAAATTATAAAGGCAGTGTGTGTTTACATAGTGAACTTGCATATCACATTCGTGTTGATTTTGTCACTTCATGGGGGAGGGAGGTGTTGTAACCAGGTCAGATTCTGTTTTAGTCCATCATTCCTATTCAGGCAATTTGGATTCCACTTGATATGAAGTGCTTCTGAGATTAGACGTTCTTTGTGATTTCTGAAGTTTTTCTGGATTATTTCAATATTGTCAAAATCAATTTTGTGACCTGATTCTATAGCATGTAGACCTATGGCTGATGATTTTTCAAGTCTTTGTAGTTCAACAGGATTTCTCGGTGGTCGAAGAGATGCTCTACGGTGTTCATTTCTTCTGATTTTGATTTCTCGAGATGTTTGTCCGATGTATATCGCATCACATTCCAAGCATTTTATTTTATAGACACAATTAGATAGAGAATCTTTAGGGATCTGGTCTTTTATATGGACAAGGTTGTTTCGTAGTGTGTCTGATGTTTTGAAGAAAACTCTAATGTCAAGCTGATTGAGTACTCTTCTGATATCATCTGACGTCTCTGCTCTATATGGAATGACGACTGTTGAGGTCCATGTTTTCGGAATACGTTTTCGGCCATACTTAATGTCTGTGTTGATTTTGTTGATGAAGTTCCATGGGTAGTTGTTTTGCTTGAGAGTTTCAGCAATGTTTGATGTTTCTTCTTCTTTTTCTTTCTCATCCGTTATCAGAGAGTGTGCTCGTCTAAGAAGACTTGAAACAACTGAAATCTTTGCACTGGTGGGGTGTGATGATTTGAATTAAAATCCTTTAATCTATTACACATACATTCACTTCATTAACTTTTAATTTCAAAGTTTCACTTGATTCGATAATTGAAATTCCCTACATATGAAATCGCTTACTCAATAAATAATCTTTAGAAGAATTATCAAACACTTGACAATTTCAAACTAAAGCTTATCTAACAATCAAGTAATCTTGTAAAAGATTCATTCTTATTCCTGTTTTACTGCTTTACCAGTAAGTTAATAATTAACTTTCTATCTATTTCTTTTAAGTTGAAGCGAAAAATTTATAATTATAGTAGTATTAATAGTAATATTTGCTTTTCTTTTTGCCTTCCTGTATAAAACGCTACACTTCAAGAATATTTAATTATTTTCCTTCTTTTTTCTCTGCTTTCATTGCTGTCAAAAGTTACCTTCTATTTTGCCCTGTTTCACTCCTTTAAAGCTGTAGATATTTTTAGGACAAAATAATTTTCAAAGCATATAATTTGGGTGTGTCAATACAACACACACAGGGAGTAGGATACTGATTTGCTGTTAAGATTACTTCAAAATATAGTCACAGTCGTCATCGTCGTTGTTGTTATTATTGTGTAGCTTCTGCTGTTACTTTCTGTGATGTTGGTTACTGGTACTGAATTTTTTGACATTAATAACAGGTATAATAAGGGTGATGATGATGATGGTAAAGGTAATAATGTTAAACATTTACCTAACCAATATACAGCTATATGTTCGTGTGTGCGTGTGTGTGTGCGTGCACGCGTGCTACATTCTTCAGGCTCAGCTTAACCATTCTGTTCATCTTATGTCTCTTTTTTCTGAAGATTTATATGTCTTAAGTATATACACATACCTATACTTTTATTTATTTTTGCTAGTTTCAAACTGTAATAATTTATTACTGATAATATTCTCCACTAGAACAAATAGTTAGCACGTTAAAAAAGAACGGACTTTTTCAATCAATCTTATGGTTTTGTGGTTATATTTATTTGTTGATGTAAGAAAAGTGGAACAAATGGTGACAGATGTATTCCTAAGTAGAAATATACACAAAATTAAATCAATTCAAGTTTTTTTTCTTTTTGTATCAAACAAGTAAAATATCACCTGAGTTAAATAAACAAATATTCAAATGCAAATAAACAATATTGGGTATAAAATAATCAACCAGCAATACAGCAGTTATCCTACTTTTTGTTGTACTCAGACATGTCATTCAGTATTAGCTACAATTAGTTTCAGTACACACTGTAGATTCTCGTCAAACATTTGGAAAGATAGAAAGTAGTGTCACAGTTGATGGTGACTAACAGTGGAATTTAGGGTGCTCATTTCATCTTATTTAGGACTCGTCAGTTGGATACTAATCTCACCGAGAGTGGAACCCAACGCCTGCCGTTTTAAATATTGAAGAGTTATCCACCAGTTCACTAGAGCACAGGAGTTACCTCTTGTGTAATGGCTAAGATTATTATCTCTTCAAGTTACTTTCTATTTCCTGCTGAGTGATTTATATTGGACGGAAATAGTAAGTTTCTCATCACAAACTGGCGTATAGCACTTCTGAGATGTCTTGATGGTGAGCACAGTGTTGTTTGGTTAATGATAGATTGCAGTGTAAACCAGGATGCAGGTGCATCCAGATGATGAGTGCAAAATAAGACGAAACACGCACCTTAAATTTTACAGCTAACCACCATCAATTAAGTGACATCATGTTAATAACCTCCAAACATAGTCAAAGAGTT